TTTTTTTTTTTTTTTTTTTTTTTTTTTTTTGCAGGTAATTTGGGGATAGTGACATCAGGATGAAACTCCAACCAGTTGACCAACTTGTGCAGTCTATATCAACTTACACGATAAGACCTGTTTGGTCACATGTTTATGTTGCTCCCTTTGTTTTCCTGTATCTAGTCTGGATATATATTTGGTACAGTGTTTACGGTTTTACAGAGTACTGGGAACTGGGATGTATTATTATGGCAATAATTGGAATATTGCAGGTAGGTTATCTTTATCACGATTTCTTGATAATTTGTTTGCAAGAATCTGTAGGAGGGTATCGTTTTACTGCTGTTTTTTGATGTAGGGAAAGGAAGGATTTCTTCAAATTAATAAATTTTTACAGTACTGCTTAACTGTTGCTTTGACATTTAACCTTCTACTTTTGTGGAACTGGTTATGATGCTTTAAAAGGTGAGGGTTTTTTGAGGTGATAGGGAACTTTACTTGCAATTAAAAAATTTTGATGATTTTTATAATACTATTACCACTTATCTCATTCAGGTGCTGACGGTGCTGTTTTGTTATTGGTTTGTCAGTATCAACTGCCTTTTTACGGCATCGTATGTGAGTACAGGCTTCTTCAATAGTATCTAAAAACTGTCTTTGATTACTTTACAGCTTTACTAAGAATTAATGGATAATTTTTATTTTTCAATGAACTAGTTAGTTTCCTCGATATTGAGAAATACTTCAGGAAAAAAGTGTGAATAAAGCAACTTACGTGAAAGTAGTACCAACTCCTAACAATGGATGGGCTGAATTACTTCCACTTTATCGTACAGAGGTATCTTGAGATGTCTTGCCTACAATTCACACACTTTGTTCCTCTAGATCTTTATTAATTTTGCTGTTTTTGCTTCTAATTGACTGATGCTCAATTTCTAATTTTCTAGTACGCAGACGGGACTGTCAAAACATGGTTCGAGTTTCAAAAAGTACATTATTTATACGATAGAGATCGGAACATTTTCCGCTCATTTGAACTCGATTCGAATAAACCAATGTCCTATTTTCATGAGTACAAGGGACTGGAAACTGAGAGAGCAATCACTGACGCGAAGCAAGAATTAGGAGACAACCAGTGAGTTAGTTGATAAATAGCTAAAAAATTTCTCTCTGCCGTCGTCGTCACTCAATATTTTTTCAAGTATGGTGATGGTAATTCCACAGTTTATGGAACTTTTCAAGGAGCGAGCTACAGCACCATTCTTCGTATTTCAGGTAATTGGATAAAATGAGATTTTTTCTGCCGCTTATGCGGTTCGAGATATATTAATAAATTTTAATTTTGCTTTTCACGTTTATAGATTATTGAAAAATCTTTCTGATGTTTCCTTGTCTTTATTATTTGTTCCAATTACTGTAGGTCTTCTGTGTTGGTTTATGGTGTCTTGAGGACATGTGGTACTATTCGTTATTTACTTTGTTTATGCTTATGACTTTCGAGGCAACGTTAGTTAAACAGCAGTTGAAGAATATGTCAGAAATAAGGAATATGGGTAATAAACCATATCCAGTTTATGCATATAGACAGAAACGTTGGAATCGCATCCCAAGTGACGAGTTGTTACCTGGCGATTTGATTTCCGTCGGTAAGTAAATCTTCAATAACAATGAAAAAAATTTTCTTTTTGACGTAAGATTTACAAAGTTTGATTCCACTTGCTTGAATTATAGGCCGTTCTCAGGATGAACGATGTGTTCCCTGTGATTTACTTTTATTAAGGGGACAATGCATTGTAGATGAATCGATGCTCACTGGTGAAAGCGTTCCACAAATGAAGGTGTTTTGTTCTTTTACTAACCATTTTTATTAAAATCAAGTATTTTTGTGAATTAAATTCACCTTATCACTCATCTTTGCACCTACGACATTTACGCTTTAGGAGTCAATAGAGGATGTAGAAAAGACACAGTATTTCAGTTTTGAGAATGATAGTCGATTGCATGTTGTTTTCGGTGGGACAAAAATTGTTCAACATACAGCTCCAGGTTAATTTTTTTTGATTTTTTCAACGTTTCCGTGGATTTTTTCTGTGCTTTCACTATATATTATGCTATTGCCGACTCTCACATG